TGCTGTGAGCAGTTTTTCTGGTAATGATGCTGACTGGTCTCCCTGTAACCTGGTTGCAGAATAAATGAATCCCCTTTTCTCCCAATCTCTGCCTCTCATCTTTAGGTGGCCATGAGGGAAGCAGCTGATTTAATGGATTAGACCATAAAACTTCGGGCTCAGAAGGGGCTCAGGGTTCAAAGGTAGAAGCCTCCTCGCCCACTGGTTGGCAATTCCTGAGCCTAGCCACAGCCAGAGGGGGAGGCCTCAAAGAACCAGGCCTGGCGCAGTCACCCATGCCTCGAAGTGCGGCCCTTCCTGTGGGAAGAGTCCTCTTGGACCAGGCCACCGTCCTATCTCTCAGCTCTGTGTCTGTCCCCAGCCCCAACTTTCTCCAGCACGTGGAGCTGTTGGTCCTTGACCAACCCAGCCCTGCCCTGTGTCTGTTCTCCCTGCCTTGAACCTGAGCACTCCCACCTCCGCCTGACAGCCTTCCAAGACCTTGAAAACTCAGTGAGAGTGAAGGTGCAGGAAACTGACATAGGAGTTTGGCTGAAGTGTCAACAGGCACAAAACCTGGAGAGAAGTCCAGCTAATGGCTAATTTTGAAGGGCTTGTCTCCTACAACCCAGCAGCATCATTTGTGGAAAGATGTTCAAGCCGCTTATGCATGTGATCAAAGATACCTGGATAAGCCTGCTCATTGCAGCAGTTTGTAAGAGAAAACAAACAAAACAAAACAAAACTGAAGAAGAATTAATACTGATAAAATGTTGGTACCAACCAAGGTGATCTACAGATTCTATGTAATGCCTATAAAAATTTTGATGATGTTTTTCACAGATATAGAAAAAAATTTCTACATTTATGTAGAACTACAATAGACCACAATTAGTCAAAGCAATTTTGAACAAAAAGAACAAAGCTGGAGGCAACCACACTACCTGACTTCAAAATATATTACAAAGCTACAGTAATCAAAACAGCATGACACCGGCATAAAAACACACATGTAACCAATAGAACAGAATAGAGAGCCCAGAAATAAATCCATGCATTCATAGCTAATTAATTTTCTTTTCTTTTTCTTTTTTGAGTTGGAGTCTCACTCTGTCACCCAGACTGGAGTGCAGTGGACACTCCCGGCCACCACAGCCTCGACCTGCTGGGCTCCAGTGATCCTTCCACCTCAGTCTTCCAAGTAGTTGGAACTACAGGTGCACGCTACCACACCTGGCTAAGTTTTGATTTATTGTAGAGATGAGGTCTCGCCAAGTTCCCAGGTGGGTCTTGAACCCGTGGGCTCAGGCAATCCGCTCACCTCAGTCTCCCAAAGCGTGGGATTACAGGCTGAGCCACCGAGCCCGGCTTGCCAATTAATTTTCAACAAAGGTGCCAAGAACACACAATGGGGAAAGAAAGTTTCAATAAATAGTATATTGAATATTCAACTAGATATTCATGTGAACGAAAGAAATTAGACCCCTATCTCACACCATATACCAAAAAGACAACTTAAAATAGATTAAAGTTAGCATAAGACCTGAAACTTATTATAGAACTACTAGAAGACAACACAAGGGAAAAACTCCATGACATTGTTCTGGGCAATCATTGTTTTGGATGTGGCCCCCAAAATACAGGCAACAAAAGAAAATAGACAAATGAGATTACATCAAACTAAAAAGCTTCTGCACAGACAAGAAAACAATCGGCAGGGTGAAGAGAAATTACAGAATGAGAGAAAATATTTGCAAGTCATACATCTGATAAGGGATTAACATCCAAAATGTATAAGAAACTCAACTCTGTGGTAATAAAGCAAATAACCTGAATTTAAAAAGATGGGCAAATGATCTGAACAGACATTTCTCAGAAAAAGCCATATAAATGACCAACAGGTACATTTAAAAATGCTTAACATAACCAATTATCAGCGAAACACAAAACTACAATGCGGTATGACCTCACATCTCTTAGAATGGTTATTATCAAAAATACAAAAAAAGTGTTGATGAGGAGAAAAGGGAAGTCTTGCATGATGTTGGTGGGAATGCAAATTAGTACAGCCATCATGGAAAATAGTATAGAGGTTCCTTAAAAAATTAAAAAATAGGCGGGGCTTGGTGGCTCAGCCTGTAATCCCAGCACTTTGGGAGGCCGAGGTGAGTGGATTACCTGAGCCTGAGGGTTCAAGACCAGCCCAGGTAACTTGGCGAGACCTCATCTCTACAATAAATAAAAAACATTAGCCAGAGGTGGTAGCACACGCCTGTAGTTCCCGCTACTTGGAAGGCTAAGGCAGGAGGCTTGCTGGAGCCCAGCAGATCGACGTTCGTGGGTGGCCGTGAGCATGCCACTGTACTCCAGCCTGGGGACAGAGTGAGACTCCAACTCAAAAAAGAAAAAAAATTAACAAATAGAGCTCCTTGAACAATTATCATAATATTATAAGAAAGGTATTGGCAGTAGTGGGAAACTGCAGCGGGAGAGGTGGGATTGGCAGTTGAGGGAAACTGCTAGAGGAGGGAAGAGCACACCTTATCAACAAGGGTACCACCTGCATACTCAACATTTGTATACCTAACCCTGAATTGTACCCCCATCTTTAAAATAAAAAAAGCAAAAAAAAGAACCCCTCCTCCCCCAAATAGAGCTCCTTTGTGATCTAGCAATCCCGCTACCAGGTGTGTATCCACAGGAAATGGAATCAGTATGACCAACAGGCAATTGCCCTCCCACATTCACTGTGGCCTGAGTCACGAGAGCCAAGATACAGAATCAACCTAAGCGTTCATCAGTGGATAATGGATAAAGATGGGATATATGTGCATACACAATGGAGTACTATCCATCCTTTATAAAGAAGGACATCCTGTCGTTCGGGACAATGTGAATGAACCTAACTACGTTAAATGCAACAAGCCAGGCACACAAAGACAAACATGGCATGCTCCCACTTATATAAGGAATGAAAAAACTGAACTCACAGAAGCAGAGAGTAAAGTGGTGCTTCCAAGTAAAGCGAGTCTGGGGAGATAAAAAGATGTTGGTCAAAGGGTACAAAGTTTCAGTTAAAGAGGAGGAATAAGTTCAGTAGATCTATTGTACAACATGGTGACCATATGAGATAATAACAATGCATTGTATTCTTGTAAATTGCTAAGAAAATAGATGTTAAGTGTCCTCATCACAAAAATGATCAGTATGTGGGGTAACACACATGCTAATTTGCTCAGTTGAGCCATTCCACAATGTATACAGATTTCAAAACATGGTGTATGTGACAAATAGATACAATTTTTCATTTGTCCTGGGTACCCTCTACATCTGGCTGTTCATTTGTATCCTTTACAAAGTCTGACAATTAAGTCCACGAATGCATCCTAGCAAGAGTGCTACCTACCTCACTGCTGAATATCACTGCGTTCACCTTTGAAGTACTCCCCTCAGTAAGCTGGGCACCGACACCAGTGCCTAGTCCACCCGTCAAAGCAATTTTGGAACTCTTTTTCTGGAATGACCATCAGAGCTGTTGTCACATAAACCTTGACGTCCTGAATGTCATCAAAATGTCTTCCTTCAACATTTGCTTTATCTTTGGATAAAGAAAAAAGTCACCAGGAGCCAGATCAGGTAAGCAGGGAGGGTATTCCAATACAGTTATTTGTGTACTAGCTAAAAACCCCCTCACAGACAGTGCTGTGTCAGCTGGTTCATTGTCGTGATGGAAGAGCTCCTTCAGGACCATTTTTACACACACCTTTATCTTGCCAAGATTTTCAGTTAAGATTTTCCTAGCTATCTCTCTATCAATGTTTATTTGGTCTGCTATGCTTTTCACAGTCAGTTCACAATTTTGACACAATTCTATGAATTTTTGCAATGTTTTTTCATCATTTCTGCTCATTACTGGCTGTCCTGACCTCTCTTCATCAGAGATGTTTTCTCTCCCCTCAGAAAAACATTTAATCCATTTGTACAATGTCATTTCTTAATGGCATTATCCCCATAAACTTGGACTGTGTCCCTGATTTCACTTCCATTCTTGACAAATTTAACAAGAAATTTAATGTTTGTTCATGTTCTAATTCAAGCTCTGACATTCTTACAACGGCACAAAAAACATGCAACGACAATAATGAATGCCACTCAGCAAGACACTGCCACATGCAGACACGAGTGCAGCTGTGAGACACTGACATACCAAGGTTATGAAACCTTACCCAGCTGTTTGTACAGTGCTGCCCACGTAAGTGCACGGTGACAAGTTCACAAACTTAATGGTCAGACCCCATGACATCTTTTATAATAAAATGGTAACAGTAAATAAAACACTTTCCTAAAAACAAACTGGAAACAACTCCTTAGCAACAAGAAAGTGTGACAGAAGGATGTCATCACAAGACACTGTTGCAGAAGGATGTGGTAGCTCTGCATAAAATGATATGAAAAGCTGCCCACGATAAATTGCTGAGGAGAAAAAAGCAAGTTGCATAATCTCACTAATGCTGGGTTTTTAAAAATCCCACAACTGTAAGTGTGAGCACTCCATAAAAAAACCTGGAAGAAAGCGGTGGTGTAGACTGGAGAGGGGGACAGGCAGGCTTTGATTTTTGTGTGCATGGAAAATTCTGTATTGTGAGAATTTGTTATGGCTCGTATTAGCCTTGTAACAAAACAGGTAGAAACAGAAAGCGTTTGTTAATTAGTCCCAATTCAGTTTAGGTTCTGGGTCTGGAAAACGTTCCTTGATTCCCCCATTTCCCCTCCACAATCTCACCGCCGCCGCCCTCTCTAAGTCTCAGTGTTCTTTTCTGTACAATGAGTTTTCCTCATTTAACCTCACTACTTCTGAAGGCGCTCAATACATGGTACTTATTATTATCTTTGTCGGAATCACGGTTCATAGTCTGACTGCCCCGCCCGACTCCGACTAGTTGTGAGCCCCTCTTGGGGGGAACTTAGGAGTTAAGGGACAAAGAGTTCCAAAAAGACACCAGGAGGTGCAATTTTCCAGGATGGAGCGACTTCTGAAAGGAGCAAAGAGCGTCGGAAATCGTTCTTTGCGAGAAGTGCCGAAGTCTTCCGGAAAGAGCCGAAAAACTGAGAGACTAGGCCCAAAGCCGGCCACGAAAGCTACCGAGAGCTTCCGGAGAGAGCCGAGGAGTCGAGTAGCGAGGCTGACTAAGGTGCCGAGTGAGCACGGAGATAGCCGAAGGGATGAGAGGCGGGGTCACGAGCCTCTCCAGAGAGGCGCCGAAGACTTTGAAAAGAGCCGAAGGTTAGGAGGCGGAACCGCTCCCGTAGGCCGGATGTCGGAGGTGGAGGCGTCGAGTGGCCGAAGAAACCCGAGGGTTTCCGGAGTGAGCCGAAGCCTCGCGACAGTTTCCGGAGAGAGCGGATCGGCTCCGAGCTGCCGCGCCGACCGCAGTCATGGCGGAGGCCGGTGCTGCGGCGGCC